TTGCTTTTGTGATGCTTCTCATTGCAACCGCCAAGCTGTTGATGGGGTTGGTGGCCTTTTTTCGGCTCCTTGAAATGGAAACGATATTGTTGACGCACTTTGCATTCCAGTTAAAGGATTGTCAGAGGAGGTTACATACTTCCCTATAATTACCACCTCTATAATTAATTGTTTGTGTGCTTTGAATGAATTCCATCCTGTTACCCAAATTAACTTTAAGTTCAGCATTATCAGTAGTATCTATAAGATATGATTGTTTTTCACATCATCAGGCAGAATTTAATGTATATTTTCTCGACAATGATTTTTTCCACAAATTACAGCCAAGAGAATGAGAAACCTTGGACATCTGAGATTAATATGCGATGACTGAATACTGTTGGGCATGCGTGATTTACTCTTCTGATTACCCAGTGCCGCAGCTTTACCTCAATTAACAGGAAAATACATTTTTGAGGAATGCATGTGGAACAAGGTTGCATCTTGTAAGCAGTAAAGATGTGGTATTCCTTAAGCCTGTGAGACCAGAAGGATGAATTCTGTGAACTCTTCTCTTTTCCTTTTCTTCTTGTAATGCATTTTAAAAGCTGTCATGAAAAGATTTTGTTGTTTTCTTTAAGCATACATGAACCCAGACGTTCAGGTTCACCCCAATCTGAAACAATTTTGTCAAATATGAAGCCTAGACTGAGCTATTGACATTTGATTGCCGGTTGGAATTGTGTATCTGAGAAAGATTTGCTCGGAAGAGTCTTGAATTCCTATACCTGAGAACTGGACTACATGATCTCGCCTTCGCCAGTAAAGTGTTCTTTGCCTGTTTTAACCGTGAAGAACACTTTAAAATGGTAAGTAGTGGAGGAGCCCAGTACCTCCTCCATCTAACTTCTGTTGTTCTGCTGCAGGACATGAATCTCCCCTGCCTCACTCTTTGACAGGACGAGATCGTCTTTGTCAAAACCGAAGACCTATTGTTTCTTCTTTTTGGGTTACTCAAAACCAAAAATTTCTTGATAGTGATTGGCTCTATCCTTCGGTCTATGGCTTCCTTTATTCAGGAATAATTTCCTTTTCTTTTGAAATAAATGTTTGATTTGTGACACTGCAAGGACTACTATCACACCATATCTTTCTACTGGACAAGGATTCCTCTTCAGCATGTCACTCTTTATCTTTCTACTCCACTTGGGCATATTCCTCCAAACTCCTGATATAGTGTCTGGTCAAGGGAGAAAACCTTTTAATGACACTACTGCTAAGTTGGAATAGACAAAGAAAGGATCGAGAATGGTCTGATTGCCAATCAAAGCATCAATCCAAGTCCTAGCTCAAAAATTGCCCAAGTCAAGAGATTTAGTGAACTTGTACATAGCAATGTTTTCAGAACCGGACCGGACCGGCCGGTTCGACCGGTTGGACCGCGAACCGGCCATGTCATCGGTCCGGTCTAATGTTAAAGCCGGAAGTTCATGGAGAACCGTTGAAACCTGGACGAATCGGACGAACCGTGCGAACCGTTAAGAACCGTGAACCGGCGGTTTTTTAAATTCTTCAACAAAATATCAAGAATGGTGTAGCTAGACTGTACTTAAGTTTGTTGAGAATTCTACTTGACTAAAAAATATATTAAAACATCAAGTTCTTCTCTTATTTTTTTTTTCAATTTTTTCTTCTTAACCATTTTTAACCCAAATATCCACAACAAGATTTTCTCAAGTCTTCACCATTATTATCAGGTTATTATCTTTAGCAGATTGTAAACAAGTTGAAAATTTCAACTTTTCTTGTTTTCCAACATTTTAGTAAGTTTAATTTTTTTCTTTTCAAGGTTTTTTTCTATATTATTATCTTTAGTTGATTTTTTGCATTTTCTTCTTTTTCCCCTCAATTTTCATATGTTTCCCTCATTTTTGTTTTATTTTTATTCGATTAATTAAGGATGAAATTTTTGCAAAAGTAGTGCACATCCGTGTAGGAATTGGGTAGGAATTACAAATAATAACATTGGGTTGGTCAAAAATATGGTAGTTGGCACATAATCGAAGCTATTGATAATTGAATTTAAAATAATTAATGGTATAGGATCATTGAATTTAATATAACATGTTAATTAGTAATGTTTAGTAGCAATTAATTTTTTATGAGTTATTGTATATTTGTTTTTCAAAAATTTTTAGTTTTTTTTAGTTTGAGCAATTAGATTTATATTTTTATAATAAAATTTTAACTTTTTCAGCTTAAGTTGATGAAATTGTGAAGGTGGTGTGGTTGCTTATCATGCCACTGATAAAAGTTTGCTATTCAAATAGTTTGTCTTAATTTGAACTCTTTTATGGATTTTTTTAAGGGTTGTAAAAAATTTCAATATTTAATTTATTTATTTTTTGTGTTTTTATTTGTGATAATTGGTGCACATTTGGATTGTATCTATTTATGTTTATAATGAATTTATGAAAACTTGTAGTGAATTATGATATTTTAATTATATTTATCATTCCATGTTTTGTGTATAACTTTTAGAAAATTTATTATTATCATAACTTAAATTAAGTTATGTTGGTAAAGTTCAAGTGTATAATGAAACATGCTTTAAAAAAAAAAAAAAAACAGTGAACCTTTGAACCGGTCGGTTGGACCGGTCGGACCGATCGAACCGCGAACCGGCCACCTCTCCGGTTCACTGACCGGTCCGAGTTTAAAAACATTGGTACATAGTTGGCCAATTCAAAGATCAGTCAAAGATGGTCCAAATTAGCCAAACATCTAAAGATAGGGAAGAGTTATACTGGTTGGTGTATTTCTTTGTCCCCACTAAGTGAGCAGAAGCTGGTCAACCTATTCTTAATTGGTCATCTTGATAAAATGTTGCAACCAATAGAAATTACTCAATAGATAAAAAGACACACTGTGATGTGAATTTTTGACATCCCCCCACTCCCCCCCCCCCCAAAAAAAACCCAATTAAAGAGAGATTACATGGTCATGGTTCCTGTAGAAAATTTTGAAACGAAAACAGGGAGAAAGTAGGGGGGCGGTGGACGAGGCCATGTCAGGCAGCTATAAGCCTTTCATGCTTGCATACTCCTATTTGCATGACATCCCTTTTGTTCGACAATTATTCGTCCTTCGTATTTGATCTGTTTGCAAATGAATTGAGGTAGCTCCGTTCCTTCTTTGCAAAGAAGAAACTGGAAACTAGGAAACGTCCTAATTCAACCAATTTCTGTTCCAAACTTGCATCATGCATCTATCTTTAAGTCAGCCTGAGGAAGCTAACCCCACATCAGAAATTCATGAAAATTGATCACATACTGCTTAAAAAATAGAAAAACACTTTAGAAAAGAAAAAGAAAAAAAAACAGGTTTTCATGAATCTTGAGTAGTCAATAGAAGGGGGAAAAGCAGATTTCTTGATGTCATGCTGAGATTTCTGACTTTGTAGTACTCGCTACTCATGAATTCAGAGCAGCATAGTGTTTAAAACTACTAATAAGTATTTCCTCTGCATACTGGGGAAATTTTTGCTTCAATTAAAGATTCATTTCAACAAAAATACTAAAACCTGTAAATCAATAGTTGTTGGATGAGTTAGATAGAGTATCTTAAAACTTTCATTCTTTTTCTTATATGACATGAAAAACCTCACAAGGATTGGTTCATACCTCACAAGAATGATGGAATGAAATTTGTACTTGACTCTTTTTTTTTTGTTTTTTTTTGTACTTGGCTTGATTAATTAGTATTTTGCATTGACAAATTCTCTCTTTTTGGTACTCAATTTTCCCGGGCAAAAATTAAAATAAAATAATATGTATCCATAAACTACATATCTCCTGACACGCACTTTGGGTGCAGAAATATAACTTCCAATCATTACTGAGCACGTCAGTAAAAGCTCTAGATGCTGATGCGAGTAGAATACACGCGCCAAGACCACGTGTAGAGCAGAAGCTGCTATAAATTAAAATTTCCCCAAAAAAATAAGGAAAAAAACATTAATCTTTTCTAATCAGACACAATAACGAAAAAAGAGAGAAAAAGAAAGAAAGAAAGAAGAGAGAGAAAGTGAGTATCGAAGAGAAGAGCGATCAGAGAGAGAGAAGGGTAGAGGGGAAGGGTCTTCGATTTCTGATTCGAAAATTAAATAAAAAAAAAGAAAACAAAGTTCTGAAATTTTTGAGGGAGAATTGGAATGCAAATAATTTTTTAGAGAGAGAAAGAGGAAGAAATAAGAAGGAAAGAGAAAGAGCAATGGAAGAAGAAGCAACCTGGGTTCCAACGAACAAGTAATACTTCACAACTATTACTTTTTTCCCATTTTTGTTGAGACCCAGAATTCAAATCAGTATTTGGAGCTTAAATAAGGTGAGCCCATAAATTTTGTTGGCTTTACATAGTCTAATTTCTCTGAGTTTTTAAGCTTGAATCTGTGTTGTGCTTTGGAATTTCATGAAAAAGATTTGAACTTGAATTGGGAAACTTCAAGGTTGAATCTTTTGATAAAAGGTGGCATTTTCAGTTTATCTTGTGGTTTTGTGGGAATTATTGGTAGTTTCTAGTTAATTGGAATTGGGAATTAAATTTGTGGGTTTTGCTTGAAGTTGGAGGGAGGCATCTTCGGTGGGGGTTTTGAGTGGAAAAAAGGGAGGGTCTGTTTGGTTTTGAGTTGGGTGGAATTGGAATTTGAAATATTGCGGTATTGGGTTTTTGGAGGGAGAGTTAGTTAAGTTGGGGGAATTGGGATCTCAGGATGTCAACCCAATCCCACCAATTGTTGTACAATTCAAAGTTTGGGTTTTGGAGGTGGGTTTTGGTTTGGCATTGTTGGGTTTGCTTATAGAGGGTTTAAATCTTGTTTGGAAGATGGGTTTTTGATGTCGGAGTAAAACCCTAATTTAGTAGTGTAATTGGGGCGTCTCTGATTCGCTGTTGTTTGGGAATTGTATGATATAGTATACAGTTTCATTGTTGTTGTTTATGGAGTTTAAATGTTGAGGGAAATGCATCCGCCACAGCAGCATTCGCGGATCAATCTTGCTGAATTGAAAGCTCAAATAGTGAGGAAACTTGGGCCAGAGGGGTCCAAGCAGTACTTCTATTATTTGAATAGGTTATTGAGTTTGAAGATTAGCAAGGTTGAGTTTAATAAGCTTTGTGTAAGGATTTTAGGCAGAGAAAACATTCCCCTACATAATCAGTTCATTCGCTCAATCTTGAAGAATGCTTGTAGTGCAAAAGTTCCGCCGCCAAGTCATGACATTGATATTGTGAAGTCCATTACTGCAGTTGGGAGTAAAGAGACTCCCAATGATGGTTACCACCAAAATGGGTCCCATAGTGCTGCAGCGCAGGCTTCCAACCTGCAAGGTTTGCCAAATGGTGACATGCTACCTTTATCACCACGAAAGGCCAGGACAGGGTCTCGTGATCGGAGAGCTGGGGATCGTCGCAGTGCTCTTGGGCCAAATGGGAAGACAAACTTTTCTTCTCCGCAAATAGTAATTAAAGATTCGGGTGATTTTAGTGTTATCTTGGAGAATGGGATCTCTCATCCACCTGATCTTCAAGGATCAGTGCAGCATCATCAAGGACTTATGCAGCAGGTAGAGAATGTCCAGGAGGCTTCAGCTCTGCATCCTGTTAAGCTTTCAGCAACAAAGGGGCCACAAGATGGTCTAGTTTCTCTACATAGCAAGGACCAGAATGAAGCGTCAGACAGAGGAGCTGCAAAAGAGATGCATGCTAGGAGTCAGTTGCAAGCCCCGCTTGGAGTTCCACTTCTCCCAGTCAGTGTAGGTGGGGCACGCAGAGCATTGCCCATAGCAAGTAGCAGTAAATTTGTTAGTACTTTGAATTCTGGTGTCTTGTTGGACAACATAAATCTGAGAGAGCGCATGGAGCAGATTGCTGCAGCACAGGGCCTTGAAGGGGTCTCGACTGATTGTGCTAATTTGTTGAATAATGGTTTGGACGTTTATTTGAAGGGATTAATTAGCTCTTGTGTCAATCTTGTGGCGGCAAGATCAGGACATGAACCAATAAGGAACAAGAAGCATCAGGCACCTATGAAGCTTGTTAATGGTGTCAGGCCTGGTCATCTTTATCAGATGCAGAATAGCGGTAGGCCATTAGAAGTCGTGCCTGAGCATAGACCACATTGCCCTATTTCTTTGCAAGACTTTAGGGTTGCCATGGAGCTGAATCCGCAGCAGCTTGGTGAAGATTGGCCCTTGTTGCTGGAGAGAATTTGTACACATGCATTTGAAGAATAAGTTGTGCACCTGGACTTCATTATCACCCAGCTAGACAAGGATTGGTCGCTGCTGGGTCAAAGGTCATTCTGTTCTTCATGGCTTAAAGCACATCAGTAAAGTGATGGTTTTCCTTTCATGGCCTTTTGAACCAGTCTACTGCTCGAGGTAAAACTGTCTCTTAAAATGATAGGGACCAGAGCAGGGAATCCTTGTCTTATCCTGCCATGGGCTTGCCATCGGCCAGAAAATCCAATTTTTCAGCAACCAGCGAAAATGGATCTGCAGAGGAAGTGCCCCAGATTTGGTTGCACTGTTGTATGATTAGCATAAATCTCACTTCATATTTTCTGCTTTCTCCTGTAATTTACAGTTAATGAGAAAATTTAGAACAGTTTTGCAGGAATAATGTGTAGTGTAGGTACATTAGCAGAAAGGTGAAAGTGCGTCATGCAAGAGTTCATGTGTATGTATCTCCAACATCAAGATTGATTGGAATCTAATTAACCAAAGTTTTCAATTTTCACCGAAGTATTTGTTTGAATAGTATTGTGTTACCTTATTGAGATATATATCAGTTTTCATTTGTCCAAAAGAACTACTTACCAACTGAAGCTTCTCTACCTTAATGCTCGCATCGTGGGGTGATTTTATTCTTTTGAAACTTATAAGCATGTTGTTGCATGGTTCATGACTGAGGAAGTTAAATTGGTATCAACTGGTTGACATGGATAATGCAATTGGCTAGCTTTAGCATTGTGGAAAACTTGTCAATCCTCTATGTAAATCTGTCATGAAGAACTGTAAGCGCTCACTAGCACTTCTTATTATTAGCATATCCTGAGTTATGCAATTCTGAGTAGCCTTGACCAGTTAGCCTAGTTTGTCTGTACGCTAAATGGGATGGAGTTATCATTTTTTGGTGTTATCCATATTTTTGGTCTTTGAATTGTACCTTCTGGTTTTAGTTGCACTAGTCTTGAGCGTAAACTCTAGTAGTGAAGTGGAGTCTGTATCTTAATTCACCTAGTGTTCCTTACAGCATGCTCTTGTTTGTTACTGGATGTGTATAAGTATGATAAAATTCTGAATAATGAGTGGGATGATCAAGGAATATGTAACTCATTCTTTGCATCTTCCCATTGCTGTTGTATGTTCAATTTTTCAACTAGACAGAATGCTTGATTCTGCCCTATGGTCCCGGGTGGTGCATGTATATGCTGTCATTTCTGCCTTTTTCAGATTGTTCCTTTTTGACTTCTAACGAAAAACACAACTGAGTGCAAGCTATTACTTTTTTATTTTTTAATCTTTTGGGTGATATGTTTATCCTAAATTCATGTTGACAGGATTAGTCCAAAATTTTATGCATGTCAAGTATCTTGAATGATTTGGAACATGAAGCAGAAGAGACTTATAGTAAGGCACTACTAAGTGCTTCCAGCAACTGTAAAATTTCTCCGTTTTCATGCTTGTTCAAATAATCCCCTATTTTTGTATAATGCTGAACAACTTTCATAGCAGGAAGGAAAAATCAATTTTTTCATTTAGAAAGGAAGGACAATACATGTTGCTTCTAGTTGTAAATCTTAAGCATTCTGATCGATCAGCTGAGATAAGCTTTATGCGCTGCTATAGCAGGAATTTTTTTTCCATGATTTTGTTTTGAGGTATATTTCCTGTTTATCGTATGAGTACATTTTGGGCTCAGATGTCTACAGATTGCTGCCAGTCCTGCAGCATTTTTTACGCAAGTGTATTTGCAGCTCAGTTTACATGGGCAATTCTTGATGCTTGGTATAAAACAAGGCTTTATAAATTTAGAATCTTAACAAGACTGTGATGTGTGTGTTGCTGCTACTTTTATCTTTTGCATGTTTATTGATTGCAGCCAAAGTCTTGAATATATGTGAGCCAGACAGATTTTCTGCTCTGGGGGTCTTGAGAAGCTCTGCTATCGGGAGAGCTGTGACAGTGTTCTGGCGTTATTATTACTGCACAGTCAGAAGAAACAGTAATAGTGACATCATACAATCTGGCTGAAGTATGAAGCATGCGTTATAACTCCTACAATCTGGCAAGCTAATATCATACAAATTGGCTCCACCATTCCCCTTAAGGCTGAAAGCAGGCCCTTCGTTCAGCCAAGTCATCTACAGCACAGCTCGAGTCAATTTGTTGTAATCTACTTGGCTTACGGAAACAGAAAGGCCAAACTCTAGTTCGTAAAAACTTGATGTGGGTTTAGGATAGCTATGGATATTTCAGATTGCTTCTTTCCCAAATCTACTATTGGTTGCTGGTAAGTTACCTGTAGTTGGGCAAATAGTGGACTGCTGTTGAAAAAAGTTGCTTGGATTTTGAAATGAAAGTCGTGGTTTAGAAGTGTATGTTTAACTCACCTAGAAGGCTAATTGGCTGAATTTCTTGAATTCCTTAAATAGTAAATTTTCATCTAATATATTAGAAAACTTTTCTTCTTCTTCTTGGTTTTTTTTTTTTTTAATTTTTTCCTTGTTTATCTTTTGAGACAACAAGATACTTCGAGCCTTCGAGGTAAAGATAAACTGAAACAGAGTAAGCAATTTCAGATATTGCATATAAAATGGGAAGGCAGAAAATTCTTTGTGCATGTCCTGCCATTCATGAAGAAAAGGATTAGGCTCTGATTGCAGCTCTATCTCGTGTCGGACAAAATGACTGCAGGGAACAATGTGCCCCAATCATTGCTTGGAGAGGTGCTGACGTTTTATCCAGGCATCTAAATGTGGAGGAGAGGTAATACTATTTATGGTTTTTCTAGGGTCTTTCTGGTGATTGACTGGGGCCTTGGATGACCTGCTGGTGTCTATACTTTGGCGCCTGAGGTGTAACCAGAAAAAGGTAGTGGCCAAGGGTTCATGAAGGAGGACATTCTAGGAAAATTGGAGTTCATGGCGAGGCTACATGACCTTTTCGGGAAGTACAAGGTCCCTGATTGATTGATCAAGGAGCATTATATGGGTTTTCTTGCTTAGGTCAGGTAGTTACCTAATAGGCTAGTATTTGGGTTCTTGATGGGTCCATGGCACAACTGTTAAACTCACTCTTTTTGTGCTGACAATCCAGTCGTGATGCTCCAGAGAGTGGCGACCGTTGTGCTGATTATAGAAGTGTGCTAGAAGGCAATGACTGCAAGGAAAATGGCGTGGTTTTGGTGGATTTAGTTATTTTCTAAGAACAATCGCAGAGAGGAGGGTTCTCTTGTTCGATGTAGCAGTTTTTGGTTGCAAGTATTGTGTGGTCTGGTTGATATTCGCTAAGTTTGGTTGTTAGTAGCGATCACTGTGACTATTTTTTGGGAAGCTGGTTTGAGGATGTATTTGTGGCGGCATGCTCTGGTTTGGAGCTGGCCGTGGTGGTGAGGTAAGAGGAGGTGGTTACTGGATCCTGTTGGCTGGGTTTCCGAGGTGGCAAAATGGAATCTGGTACCTTATCTGAGACGCGGGATTGGGATTTGATGAAGTTAAAGCAGGATAGTGCTTACAGAACTTTACCTTTCAGTAATCAAAGATAGGATTTTGGGTGGTGTGGGGAAGGAGTGGTTTCTCTTTTCTGCATCATATTCATTGCTATCAAACAAGTTGAATATGCTCGAGTTTGACTTCAGTATCATCCTTTGGAAGCCTGAAAACGAGGTGCATGATATCCATATTTTGTCAGCCTAGGAAGCACATGATACCTGAAATTTGATATTCTTTAACCTCTTTGTTGCTGGTGCAACTTATGTAGACTATAGGATCTTTGCTGCAGGAAGAAACGACCAGCAACCGCCCACATCTGGCATCTTTAAGATCCCATATCTTGCCATTAAACATTTTCCTGCCAGGTCAACTGCAAAAGAAATTCTTGGAGTAAAACCTTCATCTCATCTCCTTGTGAATCCCATAGGGTTGATACAAACTGGTGATGGCACGTATGGTTTGAAGTTTCCATTGATTGCCCTCAAACAGACAGAAGCCAATCCGATTGGAACCCTGAAGCTAGGATGTAGAATCCATCGGCAGCTTATGAAAGTTCTGCCATATAAGTTCATTGCCGAGATGATACTTCTTGAAGAGCTACTTTTCTAACTTGGATCACTCGAGAAAATAACACCTATCTCCTGCTTTTGTCTTTTATGGCTCTTAAAAATTAGTTTATTTTCTGTATATAACTAACGACATATGTATAATTAAACCCTTCAGGTATTGTGGTAACTTCTTTAACTGTATATTATTTGACCCACAATATGATTGTCTCAACGTGAACGCTCAACAAGTTCACAAAATTAGGAAAAATGAACTTATTGGAATTTCTTTTTGCTGTAAGATGATTGTGGATCATGACAAAACACAATAATATTTACATCTGACTTTTGTCAATGTAACACACATTCATCTGACCTCTTATGTGTTCAGGGAAGAGGGATGAAATACATCATATAGGTAGAGTATGAACATGCTATAAGCGGTGTGGTCTGAACCATCCATGAAAAACACTTTGCAGGCTGGAGGCTGGAGAAATGATGATTCCATCCATGAAAAACACTGCTGTGGAATGTCATCAGGACTTTTTTTTTGCTTTATTGGAGTAAAACTGGGCTGGCTCACTGAGCAGGATTTGAGGCGAAGGACGAGGCATGATTATGGTTGGACCATATGAAGATCCTCCAGAAATGACGGTGCTGCTTACGCTTAGCGTGGCGAGACATCAACTCCGACTCGGTTCTCCTAAGCATTTCCCACATCACTTGGACGTCCTCGTATCCACAAGTTTGTATGTCATCCCTGAGTTTCAAAAGTCCAGCACCTGACAGTAACAAAACCGATAAGGGCCATTTTAATGTGTACAAGTCTGCAAGAAATCTAAATAACGTACTACTGTTCTTTCATTTACCAAAACAAAAACAGCTGCAGAAAACTATGCGGATGATGACGATTTGTCTAGATAACGATGACATATGGTCGCTGGAAAAAAGGCGGCGGTGCAATTTTATAAAG